GTCCCCCTGTCCTACGCCCCCCCCACCCGGGCCGAGGGTCAGAGCACTCAGGGGCCGTCCCCCTGTCCTACGCCCCCCCTACCCGGGCCGAGGGTCAGAGCACTCAGGGGCCGTCCCCCTGTCCTACGCCCCCCCACCCGGGCCGAGGGTCAGAGCACTCGGGGGCCGTCCCTCGCCCCGGGGTCCACGGCACTGATTCAAACCAGCCACCCCCAGGCCCGCTTGCCTGCCTCACTCGTTCCTTCCCACGGAAACCACAGCATGGCCTCCCCCCCCCACTTTCTTGCTCCGTTGCCTGCTGACCGACCCCGGTGCTCCCCCCTCGTGGCCCTTCGGGGAGCGGCGCCCCCTCCTCTTGGGAACCCTGAGTCACAGACTCTTTCCGGCGGCAGCCGCCTCCTGCTCCGCTGGCCTCAGCGGTAACACCGGGTCCTGAGGCAAACCCCGCGCCCCTCCCCGGGGGACGGGGGGTTCGGAGGCGAGGGAGCCAGGGGCGGGCGCCCAGGCACCTGCTGCTGGAACCGCGTGAGGGTGGGCGGCGTCCTGGAGGCCACGTCTTCGGCCCGGGCGTCCACGTCCTCCTGGGTCACCGTGCGGCCGAAGGCGAGGAAGTTCTTCATGGACTCCTGGAGGTCGTCCACCCAGAGGTAGGAGTACCTCTCGAAGGAGTCCTGGAACTCCTCCGCCTCCTTCATGGCGCCGACCACCAGGTTGGACATCTCCTCCCGCATCTGCATGAGGTCCCGCGTGTCCTCCAGGTCCGCCTGCAAGAGGCAGGGGAGGCGCCGCCCGTGAGCCCGCGGCCGAGGCTCAGACGGCGCAGGAGTGTGGGCGGGGAGAGCCCCGCGGCCCCCGCTGTCTCCCGCCACCCCGCCCACCCCATCCCGCTTCCCAGGAGAAGCAGCCTGACCGCCAAGAGGGCCCCCGCAGAGAGACAGGGCGTTTTGTTTGTTTAAATGAACGAAATCATATTGTAAACGGGGTCCTCGGCTCCGTCAACACTTGACAACATGTCACGAGCACCCTCCCGGCCCGGGCTCATTTCTGCGGCTCCCCCGGGTGCCTTTGCGAGGATGGGCCAGAGCCTATCCAGCGAGTCCCGTCTGGCGGGCATTTCGGCCATTTCCAATTTTTGTTTTACTGTCCCACAAACGAGGCTTTGACAGACGCCCCCCTCGGAGGGGAGCCCAGTTTCCGGCGCCTGTCACGCCCCCGGAATCTGATGTGACCGCGTTTACTGTCGGGCAGGGTCTGACGGTATTGAGAGTGGACGGTCGTGGGAGCAGGCGGAGGCACACGTGTGGCAAAGGGCCTGGGTGTGGAGAGAACCGTGGCGGTGCTGACATCACAGGAGGGAGAGAAACAGCCCGGGAGGGGCCAGGGCACACCCTGGGCATCCGAGGGGCGTGGGCAGGGGCCGGGGAATGGAGCCCGGCCACTCCGGGGAAAGGGCAGGGCTTGGGGGGTGGGGAGAGAAGTCCCCCCTGCAGTCCGGGGGCACCCGTAAAATGTAAGTAACCAGGCTCCGCTGAGCTGGAAGGCGGCTCCGAACCAGGAGAGCAGCNTGTCACATCCCGAACCACTGTCCCGTAAAATGTAAGTAACCAGGCTCCGCTGAGCTGGAAGGCGGCTCCGAACCAGGAGAGCAGCGGGGAAAGCGGGGAAAGCGGGGAAAGCGGGGGGCGGAGGCGCCCGACCCACCTTGTAGTTGAGCCTGCCCTTGGCCAGGCGGGGGATGAGCTTGGCGGTGTTGTAGATGTCGTTGATGAGGCTCTCCATCAGCGCCAGGAAGCCCCGGTCGTCGCCCACCTCCAGGGACGGGCTGAAGGCCAGCCCGTCCTCACCCAGCTCCATGTGGACCTCAAACAGCGGCGCGACCGTCTCCTGCAATGGGCCGCGGGGGGGTCAGCGCCTCGCCCTCGGAGGAACCGTTCTCAGCGCCAGGAGGGTCGCTGCCCGACTCCCACGGGCCGGGGCCACTCGGGAGGCCACGCTTCTCCGTGGTCCCTGCCGCCGGGCGGGAGGGCCAGCAGCCGGCTGGAGTAGCCCCGGGCAGGGCCGGGCAGCGACCGGAAGGGAAGGCCAGCGACCGACGTTCCCGGTTCAAAGCCCGTAGCTGCTCCTTACTCGCTGTGTGGCCGTGGCCGCCCTGTTTCCCCAGATATATATAAAATGGTAAAAAGCATTTTACGGAACAGACAGCTGTCCCCATCTCTTTGGGTTACTGTGAGGACTGAACTAGTCAAGAACGTGTAACCCGCGCACAGGGGTGGCTGGCTGGCTTCTCAGGGCCGGCAGCCACGGCCACGGCCACGGCGCGTGGTGCGTCACAGCCGGGTGGGACGAGCCCTCACGTGCATGGCAGGGTCCCGTTTAGAAAGCACGTGCACAGGTAACCCTGCCTGTTCCCAGAGCCACCCCCTCATGAGCCTGCGGAGCTGAGGGTGCCACCTCATTGCCAGGTGACAGGAGGGCGTCCCCCTGACCCTCCCAGGTCGACAGGAGGCGGCGGCAGAGGTCCCTGCCTTCCCTCACCTGGCAGCAAAGCGGGCGACTCTCAGATCTGCCAGGTGGGAGGGGACCGGATGAGCCGAGAGCCTGGAGCCCAGGAGGGCCTGGGCGCAGGACTTGCCATTTTAAAACAGGGTCGAGTTGAGTGGGTGGCCCTGGCAGCTTCTCATAACCCTGTTTACTTGTAACGGGACAGCCTGTTCTCTCTCCAGGAAACTAACCTACCGATTCCAACGTAAACTTTGTATTTACAAAACCACATTTATAACACATACGTATTCTCTCTCTCACACACCCCCGCTCGTCTTCTGCGTATAACTTACGTCCAGAACCATGTTGTTGATCAGGTAACTGAGAGACTTGCGGATGAAACTGTCAAATTCGTCCAAGACCATGCTGTCGATGTACAGGACGTATTCTTTCCAGGGCTGGGTGGCCGTGTTCGCTCTGAACAGCTCCGCGTTTTCCTGCCAACAGGCCCCGCCGTCGGCCGTCTCGCCGGCCCCCCGACTCCCTCCCTCCCCAGTCAATGTTCACGGTGACCCGGGGCCGCCTGTCTGTCCCCACGCCCCCGACACGCCGCGCCTCTCGCCTTCTCCAGGCCTGGGCGGAGCGCCACCTTCCAGACACAAGCTGGAAGCCACGGCCGCGGAGGGAGGAAAGCGCGAGGGGCCCCGGGGGTCAGACCAGGCGGAGCCCCGGGGGTGCCAGGCCGCCGGCCAGCGGGGACGCCCCACAGGCCCTGAGACTGTTGGCCGGCGGGAGGGCCCCACGCTGCGGGCAGCGGGGCAGGCTCTGGTGTGACACGTGATCCCCACTTAGCGTGTTGGCCCCGACACGCCGGACACGCGTGCTCAGCGAGCCCCACTTTCCCCGGGCTGCTGGCGCCCCTCCTGGTCACCGGGGCCTCACACGGAGCTCGCCCCGCAGCAGCTGGCCCCAGAGGAACAAGCTCGGGGACCTTGTAAGAAGATGTCCCTTGTCTGCACCCACTTTGTGCAGGGTAGTGCTGGCCTGAGCACCAAAGGGTCGCGGGTTCCATTCCCTGTCAAGGGCAGTGCCTGGGTTGCAGGTTCGATCCCGGCCCCAGCTGGGGTGCATGCGGGAGGCAGGCAATCAATGCGTCTCTCCCGCATCGATGTTCCTCTCCCTCCCTCTCTCCCGCATCCTCAGGCGAAAGTTAACAACCACAAAAAGTCTCTGGGGTTAAAGANCCCTCAGGCGAAAATTAACAACCACAAAAAGTCTCTGGGGTTAAAGAGCGTAGATTCTGGGACCGCTGGAGAGGCTGTTAAGGGACCTCTAGCTACCCCCACCCCCGGCCCACGAAGGGCAAGCGGCCCCCAGGCCCCCGGGGCTCCGTACCGTGACCATGGCCTGGATTTTGATGCCGGCCTCCTTCACGGCCGTGTAGCGCTTGTTGAGGTTGACCAGCCTCCCGTCCAGGTCCAGCAGGGCCTCCTTCTTGTTGTCCTTCCTTTCAAACATGGGGTTGGCCGACCAGTCCTGGGGGACAACCGGGAGTGAGGCGGGCGCCCGGGGAGGTGTTCCGGGCCTGCCCTCCGCGGCAAACGCCCCTGTTCCCGCTGATGTCCGCGAGGACGAGGGGCCGCCGAGGACGCGGGCCGGAGAGCCCCCGTGCCGGAACCTGCTCCGGGTCTCGGAGGACGGCCGCGGCGTCCCTTGTCCGGGAGGCTCCCCCAGCCCCCAGGCCACGTGAGAGACGCTCCAGCAGGTCCAGCCGTCCCTGCGCCACCCGTGGCCCCAGCACGACCGGGAGGGCTCAGCTCGCCCCTCCCTCCTCTGCCGGGATTTGGTCTCTACATGGACCTGCTCTGAACTATATAAACTTCAGGTCCGGGGGGGCTGACTCGAATCATTTCTTTTCCGATGAGTTTCCTCATGGAGCCAGGGGGTCCGACAGCACCACCCAATGTCTTTGTTTTTGGTCGTCAGTTGTTAGACAGGGTCTCGTGCAGTGGGCACAAGGCTGGGAGAGCCCGTGTCCTCCCAGACGCCCCTTCTGCACCTGAATGTGAGCGTGCCAGCCCCCCCCCAGTGCCCAGCACGTCACTTCACTGTCGCCCCTTCTGAACGTCTGTAGAGTCGTGGCTGTGNGGCGCCACCCACTGTCTTTGTTTTTGGTCGTCAGTTGTTAGACAGGGTCTCGTGCGGCGGGCACAAGGCTGGGAGAGCCCGTGTCCTTCCAGGCGCCCCTTCTGCACCTGAATGTGAGCGTGCCAGCCCCCCCCCAGTGCCCAGCACGTCACTTCACTGTCGCCCCTTCTGAACGTCTGTAGAGTCGTGGCTGTGGCTGTGGCTGTGGCTGTGGCTGTGGCTGGGCTGTGAGGTCGGCGTGGTTCTCAGTGTGACGGGCCCAGGCTGCTCTTCCTGGAACTGGGGTTGGTGTGGCCCCTCCGGGGTTTGTGTGAAATGCTTGTGTCCCTCCCAGATTCACAGGTCGGGGTCCCCCATGGGGTGGTATCTGGAGGTGGGGCCTTTGAGAGGTGACTAGATTTAGATGAGGTCACGAGGGTGGAGCCCCCCGGGTGGGATCAGTGACCTTATGAGGAAAAGCAGAGAGCCCTGGCTGGTGTNCATGGGGTGGTATCTGGAGGTGGGGCCTTTGAGAGGCGACTAGATTTAGATGAGGTCACGAGGGTGGAGCCCCCAGGGTGGGATCAGTGACCTTATGAGGAAAAGCAGAGAGCCCTGGCTGGTGTGGCTCAGTGGGTTGGGCCAAGTTCTGTGCTCCAAGAAGTTGCCGTTTGGTTCCCAGGCGGGGCACATGCCAGGTTGCAGGCTCCATCCCCAGTAGGGGGCGTGCAGGAGGCGGCCGGCCGGTGTTTCACTCTCCCATCGACGTTTCCCTCTCCTCTCTCTCTCCCTTCCTCTCTCTCTAAAAATCAATGAAAAATCTTTAAAAAGAAAAAAAGTAAAGGAAGGGAGAGTAGGTCTCTCGCCCTCTATCTCTGTCTCCCTCCCCCGTCTCCACCCTGTCCCACGCGAGGACGTGGTGGGAAGGTGGTCTCTACAAGCCGGGCAGAGAGCCTGCAGCGTGAACCGGATCCGNAGCCGGCCGGTGTTTCACTCTCCCATCGACGTTTCCCTGTCCTCTCTCTCTCTCTCTCTCCCCCTTCCTCTCTCTAAAAATCAATTAAAAAAATCTTTAAAAAGAAAAAAAGTAAAGGAAGGGAGAGTAGATCTCTCGCCCTCTGTCTCTGTCTCCCTCCCCCGTCTCCGCCCCTGTCCCACGCGAGGACGTGGTGGGGAGGTGGTCTCTACAAGCCGGGCAGAGAGCCTGCAGCGTGAACCGGATCCGCTGGCACCTTGACCTTGGGCTCCTGGTCTGCAGACCACCCTTGCTGTTCAGATGCAGGGGGAGAGCCAAGTTAGGACACAGCCCCAAACCCAACAACCTCGGAGACCAGGGCCCACGGGGCCACGATGAGAGACGCGGCGGCCAGGTCGGGACCCGCACGTGGGGCGGCTCAGAGTTCCAGGGGGTGCATGTGGGACGGTGACTTGGTAGCGAAGGTGCGGGGCTGAAGAAGTGCGGCACGGAGGCCCCGGGTGGCGGCCGGAGCCCGGACGGTTCCNGCATGTGGGACGGTGACTTGGTAGAGAAGGTGCGGGGCTGAAGAAGCGCGGCACAGAGGCCCCGGGTGGCGGCCGGAGCCCGGACGGTTCCCACTGCCCCGGGCACTTTCCTCAGAGTCTCTGAGACCCGACTCCCCGGCCCTGCTCCGCTTACCTTCATGACCTGGGAAATGGCCTCTATGTTTTGCTTGGCTTTCTGAATCCTGTTCTGCAGGTTGTGCAGAATTTCCCGCATCTCCTGGATGNGGAGCCCGGACGGTTCCCGCTGCCCCGGGCACTTTCCTCAGAGTCTCTGGGACCCGACTCCCCGGCCCTGCTCCGCTCACCTTCATGACCTGGGAAATGGCCTCTATGTTTTGCTTGGCTTTCTGAATCCTGTTCTGCAGGTTGTGCAGAATTTCCCGCATCTCCTGGATGTATTCAAATACACCTAAGACAGAAGCGGAGGGGAACCTCAGCGATGGACGAGTCAGCAGGAGGAAACCTCCCTGTGGGCCTGCTTGACGGCCCTTGGAAAACTCATCGACTCCTCGGGAGCGCTAAGCAGAAGCCACTGAGAGGTCCCCGAAAGGCCACGCTGGGGGACAGGGCCCGCGGTGCCTCTGAAAGCAGCACCTCCCTGTCCCCAGACAGGCAGAACGGTCATCCCACCCGGCACTGCAGACCCCTGAGGCGAAGGACCCCCCATGCCGGGCCCTGGGCCACGGCACAGTGCTGGGGACTTGAGCAGCCTGGACCCCAACAGCTGGAAAGAGACGCGTTCTTGGGCAGAAACGAAAGGAATCATACGACGTCCTTGCCCAAGGAAAGCCCCAGTGGACCCTGGTTCAGACAAGTGGACAGTCCTGCCTTCTTGTTGAGATAGTGGAGGCAGAATGGGGGGCAGAGGGCTGGAAAGAGGGCAGAAGGGGAGCCGGGAGGTCTTGATGGACGGGGTGCCCACCCAGCATGGGTCCTGGGGACGAGGGGAGTCAGGGGGCCTGGTCCAGCGGTGGTGGGGGAACAGAGGAAGGGGAGTCCTGAGTACGTTTCTTTCTACGTCTCCGACACCTGCCCTGAGCCGGCTGCCATGGGCATGGGCTCTGCCATCCGCTGTGCCTGCCCTGTGGGGAGCCACCATAAGCCCGGCCTCTAGCAAGTCCAGCTGTGAAACTGTGAGGTCCTCAGGGGTCCCCAAGGAGCCTCCGCCAGGTCCCACAGCTGTTTGGGGCCTGGCGAGCAGGGGCCACTATCCTTTGGCCAAACACACAGCCCCGTTGCAGTCCCAGCGGACCCAGGGGCCGGGAGGCAGAGGCGGCCGGCCCCTCCAAGTCTAACCCAGGGGACAGGCACGGGGCCGCGGTACCTTGGCCGTTCCAGAACAGCGTGGTTTCGGCGCTCCATAATTTGACGTCGATTGCTTCCAGCTCTGCCTTTATGAGCGGGAACTCCACGTCCATCACCGTGGTCTTTATCTGCGGAACAAACAAGACCATCTCGGGGCCTTCGCTCCAAACCCACCCCGACTCCCAGCGGTCTCACNAGAACAAACAAGACCGTCTCTGGGCCTTCGCTCCAAACCCACCCCGACTCCCAGCGGTCTCACAGCGAGGGCGCTGGTCCAGACCAAAGCCACTACGATTAGCGTCACTTGACAGGGAATTATAGGGCCATCGGATTTGGGGAGATTTCACCTTTGAAAATTAATCACCGAGGGTTCATGTATATACCTAACGCTTCATTACCCACGTTATGGGGTAGAAAAGGAAGAAAATATGATCAGGCAAAAAACAGCGTGCATATAATCCAAAACTTTATTGGACTTAGATTCACGCAAAGAAAGAGAGACGGACATGGGTCACTGGGCATTTCTGGGCTCAGACCCTCTCCTTGGTCCCATGTCTAAGGCTCCACCTTTGGTTGCCCCGGGGGCATCGGCGTTCACAATAGTATCGGCTCTATATGGTCTCGAGGCGGCGCTATCCTGCTCTCGGACATTAATTTACTGCTTGAAAACCTCCGCTCACGGAAGAGAAAGAAAGGGGGCGCTCATGACCTTCTCTCTAAATTATTCCTTTAAAGAACAAGCCCGCTGAGCTCCCATCCCGCAACAGTCTGGCTTCTATGTAACCTTTCAAGGTCACCCATCCAGCAACAGTCTGGCTTCTATGTAACCTTTCAAGGTCACCCATCCAGCAACAGTCTGGCTTCTATGTAACCTTTCAAGGTCACCCATCCAGCAACAGTCTGGCTTCTATGTAACCTTTCAAGGTCACCCATCCAGCAACAGTCTGGCTTCTATGTAACCTTTCAAGGTCACCCATCCAGCAACAGTCTGGCTTCTATGTAACCTTTCAAGGTCACCCATCCAGCAACAGTCTGGCTTCTATGTAACCTTTCAAGGTCACCCATCCAGCAACAGTCTGGCTTCTATGTAACCTTTCAAGGTCACCCATCCAGCAACAGTCTGGCTTCTATGTAACTTTTCAAGGTCACCCATCCAGCAACAGCCTGGTTTCTATGTAACTTTTCAAGGTCACCCATCCAGCAACAGTCTGGCTTCTATGTAACTTTTCCGGGTCACCTGCACCCTTACCAGCGAGGCGTGGACACCGAATTAAAACCGTGTATGGGGGGGGGCGATTCGCCTCTCAGAATCCTTCTTTACATACATTTGGGGCTTTCAATGGTCCCCGGCTCCCCACCCCACCCCGCTAATGCCTTCAAGCGTTTTCAGACGGGGAACTGGTCGGAAAGGTGGGCAGGGGCGGAGACATCCAGTGTGTGAGCCACGGTGAGCGGAAACCGGGCCAGCGGAGGACAGCGCAGGGGGAGGCGCAAAGCAAGGCAGCGAGACGCGGCGCCAGCGGCGGG